ATAAATGATTTATTGTCAGTTTAACTTCTGATGCTGTGTTTGGTTGTACTGTGTGTAAGCTTCTGAATTACAACAAAATATTTAGCAATCAATGCGATGCTACTTGAAAATTAAACAGATTTGCTTACATTTCATAGAGTGATTCTAAGAGGCCGATGTGAATTTTTCAACTCAAGACTTTGGTTTTCTCTAAGCTGCCTCCTGTTAGTTGTGTTTTTCTCTCAGGTGTGGCAAAATGGGATCTGTGGTGCTGTTTGCAGAGTCAAAATGGAAAAGCAAATCTTGTTTTTGTAGATGAACCAACCCTTATTTTGTTAATGCATTACTTGGATTTCAGTTTCTCTGCTGCTGACATTTATTGGTTGGTCGGTCTTTGAAATAGAGGGATTAGAGAGAATAAGTGGTGGTGAGCAGATCAAATATCTTAGTGGTAACATTTGGGTTTATGCAAATGGACAAGAAGCAGACCAGAAATTATGCTGCGCTCATAGGACAGGCTAAAAATAAGGCCTTATTCATGCATTGAGCTCTCTGAAGATCCAAATGCATGCATTGCTTTAAGTTCAAGAGAGAGACTTACATTTTTATTTAATGTCAGTTTGTACCGAATTCTTTTTCTGTATGCACGTTTCATCACCTTAGTAGCAGTCTTTGCTATAGTCATACTCATCATACAGAAAGAAAACATCATCAAATAATACTAACAGGTGGTCTAGTGGGCAAGACAGCAGTAAACAATACTTCCTGAAAGTAGATCATTTCTCTCTCCCTGATGGGCCACATTCAATTTATAAAATGCACATCAGTACTTTTTATGAGCACATAATTTACTTTTTTTGTCTCTTTTTCCTCCTAACTACACATCATTTAATATCAAAACAAGCAAAAACCCTAGACAGTCATTCAAATAAGAAATGTTACTAGTTTGTTAAAAATCCATTTTTGATTATTTTTTTAAAAAAATTGCATTGACTTAAGAAGTCCCGATCTAATAGTAGTAAGGATTTCAGTTACAAGTCATGGAAGAGAAGAAATCTGTAATGGAAATTGCTGCCCAAAAGCTTGGGAGGGTTGCAAACTAAGCTATCATTTTAAGAGAATAAGTCAGTCTAGTTTGGATAGCTATATTCCTTTAATTTAGAGAGTACAAGACACACTTTCCCCTGTATTTCTTTCAGTTAGAAAAATGAAGAAGGTTGTGGAAAAAAACCGACCCATGAAATGGGTAAATAGGACTCCGTGCTGATCAAGGAGCACGCCCTAGTGGCAGGTTAATCCAGCGTGGCCTTCTCGGGTACCCCGTCTTCCAACTTCACTGATATTAATCAACTACTTAAAGAAAGAGAGCAACATTTTCACAGAATCTTTTTAAATTTACCATTTCTGTTGCTGTCCTGTGCCAAAACAAGTGCAATATGTTTACACATGGCATCATCACATGTATTGGTGGTAGTGTGATAAAATTCCTGCTCTGTAATTAATTTTGAAATAGGGAAGTAATGTATATTTTTGTGTATGATTTTTAAATGCATAGATATTTTAAGCTGCAGAGGGAAAGATTTCATGCTCATGATGTACAAATTCTTATGGAGTGTGAGCATTTTAGTAACAGATACAGTCGTTAAGGTTGCCAGTTAGCGTCACGTAAAATGTTAGGTTCTCAAAATCATCCACATTTTTGCAGTGTGTTCTGGTTTTGTCCTCTCCCTGAGGCTGGTAAACCTCTTTAGCCCTTCTCCTCCTGCTCAACTCTTACTTTTTCTTTAATGAGACCGTAGGTTTGCAGTTTGATTATTTTCAGATTCTCTGAAATACATGTAGATAGGCATCTTGTAAGAAAGAAAAATAAAAGACTAAGCATGTAACTACGAAGCAATCCACAGCATTACCACAGAATGAAAGTTTGAAGAGTGGGTATAGTAAGGGAAGTTCTACCCTGTGATTGATTATAGGTGAGCACCCTGTGATGTGCTTCATTTCATCACATCACTTGGTAGGAATATAATTAAATGTGAAGTTTTTATCCTACATGCTACAAATTCTGTTCATGTCAGTAACTTATAATAGAGAGGATATGTTCACTTTTTTTCTAGGTAATGTGTAAGTCTTTGCAGTACATGCAATAAATTTTACCCTTACTTACTGATTTGAAACAGGATAAAAGTGTTTCCAAGATAAATGTAATTTAGGGGATTCTCTGATGGTCACATTATGTGATGCGAGTGACTGCAGAAGTAGCTGGCTGTTAGGATCCATCTGAAAAATTACTTTTGTCACTTAGTCATTCTTAAAAGCCCTGTTAAGTTGGGCCGTGCATTTAATTCTTGCTGTGTGCCTCTCAGCCCTCTCCATCCCATGGCAAATTAATTAACTGTAAACAGGTTTCCTCTTGTTGTTGTTGTTGTAGGGAGGCTAATGCAACGACGAATTTCTACTGTTCTGTGTATGTTGTGTTTTTGTGTATGCTCTGTGGGGAATTGCAGAGGGGAAAGGAATTCCTCTTAAAGAAGCTTCTGTTGAGGGTGTGATGGTACGCTGCTTTCCTGTAGGACCTCCTGGTTCTTTCTCCTGTTTGCCATCATTTTGGGGGTAATATCAATTATTCACTTGAAACAGTTTACTCTAAATGAATGAAAAATACTTAATGTAAACATAAACCACACAAAGTTCAAAGCATGTAAGTGTTGAAACTTACTGCTCCCTTTTGTTTGTTCAACTAGCAGGATCAGCATCCCCTTTTAATGACCTTTTGCAGTATCATTCATCATGGAGTGAAAATTTTATAAGTGTGTTAAACTTTGCTTCTGATTTTTTTTTTTAATTAAATTTTAGCAATACAGTTGATATATACAGTTAGCTTTGCAGAAACAATCAAGGCAGTACATAATAGCCTAGCAAAGAATTAAAATTACATTAATATAGGGCCAGGACCTTTTCACTTATCTTGTGAGCTACTGTCAGTAAGTGTTGTTACAGCGAAGGATGCTTTTCAAGTCCAGGGTGGTGGTACTGGAGTGTTTTTCGTAGAAGTGTAGTAATGAATAAACTGACTTTTACTGTGAGGAAGCTGGTGATCTCAGTATTCCAAGTGATGCTTTGTAGCATTTACTTCTCACACCTCTAGGTCATAGTATTTATATCTTCTGATTCTGAAAAGGAGAACCATTAATATGTAACTATTAATTAAATATTAATTAAACAAATGCCGCAGTTTCCATATATGTGGAGGAGTGCAATACCATCAGCGTTCATGGCATTCCCCTCTCTCGCTCAGTTGATATATACAGTTAGCTTTGCAGAAACAATCAAGGCAGTACATAATAGCCTAGCAAAGAATTAAAATTACATTAATATAGGGCCAGGACCTTTTCACTTATCTTGTGAGCTACTGTCAGTAAGTGTTGTTACAGCGAAGGATGCTTTTCAAGTCCAGGGTGGTGGTACTGGAGTGTTTTTCGTAGAAGTGTAGTAATGAATAAACTGACTTTTACTGTGAGGAAGCTGGTGATCTCAGTATTCCAAGTGATGCTTTGTAGCATTTACTTCTCACACCTCTAGGTCATAGTATTTATATCTTCTGATTCTGAAAAGGAGAACCATTAATATGTAACTATTAATTAAATATTAATTAAACAAATGCCGCAGTTTCCATATATGTGGAGGAGTGCAATACCATCAGCGTTCATGGCATTCCCCCTTCTCTCGCTCAGGGCTCTTCCCATAGATTTGAAGACTACGACCACCCAGCTGTCAGGAAGGAGGGAAGGAGCAGATACTGGTTTACTTGCATCTCTTAAGAATTTAAATAAGGAAAATGACCGCTGACCAAAATATTCTGTAGTTCCTCAATCAAAACAAGGAAAAAAACATTAAGTCTTATTCAGCTTAGTAACAGACTAAATAATGCAGGGTTTCTTAGAGGTCAATGATTATTTTTAAGATGATGGAAAGTCTTAAATGCTGTGTGCTGTTTAAGGCATGTATTGCCTTCCTTGGTTTTAGTCCTTGTTTTAAGGAGGTCTTTGGGAAGTTTCAGCGTTATTTGTAATGTGTTTTGTGAGCCTTTGTGGCTGGAGTTTATTATTTAGAAAATAGTTTGCTCTTTTCCTGATCCTCTTCCATTTGGGGCAGGGTTATCTGTTTTACTATTAAGTATGTCGTGCTTCAAACAGCATTTTTTTGATACGAGGATTCTTTTCTTGCAGTGTCGGGACAGTATTCCTGTGCTCTTACTTTCAAACCTTTCCCTTTAATACCTTAGTTTGCGTAAGATCACTCTCTAATGATTTCATCTGTAATGAATATTGGTGATAGGAACCACTATGTTACACAACTGTAGGATCAGTAATTGTTCTGATCACAGGTGCATAATGTACTTAACTCCTAGAAAGTGTTTACGTTTTGAAGTCGCTTGTGGAAATTTACTCCATGAAGGTAGTTTAAGGATTCTTTCATATAACATGTTCTTTTTAATTTGTTGGTGTTAAATTCAGATCCAAAATGGTCAATTTTGAAAACACCGGCTAGTTTGATCATGGCCTTGTGTTTCCTATTTTTTATCTTACTATTGAGTCATTTTAGTTGTATACTTTAGCTAACACTAAAATAAGCTACCGCATCAATACTTTGCCGTTTGTAAACTTTAATCTGGATTCTCATAAAGTTCCCTTTTGTCAATATGAGCAGCCAAAAAGAACAGAAAATCCATTAAAGCTAATGCTCTATTCTGTGCTAGGGTTTTGTTTTCAACTAAAAGAGTGAGGAGAGAGTTGAAACTGCGCCTGTAACTACTTAAACATGTTCCATGTAAGTAATCAAAAGATGGTCTTTAATTTTTGTTCATTTATTTTTTTATCGAAACATACGTTGTAATCAGTAGGAAACTGAATGTTGTTTTAATGCTTTCAGTATTAAGACTGGTAGAAAAATAGCTTTTATCCTTTTTTCATCCTTTAAAATAAATATTGATAGAAACTATCATAATATGGTTTGTGTTACAGGTGGTGTAATACCAAGGGCTGTACTGCTGCCACATCTCAATTTTGTGGGGTTTCAGAGAGTAGTTCTGGTAAGGACACTCAATGATTTATCTATTTATTTGTCATAAAAGTGGACTGATAGTTTGGTACAATTTAGTATTAGTAATTGCAATTACGTGCATTTACAGTATTTTTTAGGTATCAGTTTCTGCAGTCAGCTGAATCTTTACATTAAGTGTTCTTTTATTCAGTGGTCTTTAACAGCTCCTTTTGGAGCTGTTAATGTCTTGCGTAAATCCATATTAATTTTGTTAGAGTTGTTATGATATAACACATCAATTCACAGCATGGAAATATTACTAAATAGATCTTTTGACAAAGCACCTTGTAAAAACTGTATTGTCTACTTGAAAAGTGGAGTCACTATTGCCTCAGTGTGTATCAGTTTTTAAAAAAGGTGGAAAAATTACTGTGTTTTGAAAATAGTATTTTTTTTTTTCAAGTACTAAAGTCTTGGCTTCCTAAAGGAAAATAGGAATATGTGGTTCAAAGGGCAAATATCCAGACTGTGTGCTGTTACTAGTCTCCTCTTCTTAAATTTAACGTTTAGTCATGATTTTGCAATTGTTTTCTTCAAATGTATGTAACTGCAATCCCTCTATCATTTCTTTTGCTTTTGCATACTTTTCTTAAACATATTTTCTTATCTCTTCTCCATGGCTAGAGTTACAAGGGAGATGAAATTACCTTACTTTTTCTAATAAAGGGAAAATTCATTCTGAACCAGTCTATCAACAGTCATGCTTAAGTATTGTGCAAGAGCACAACTGAGTATTTGTTCTTTCAGCAGTAGATAACTGATACCACATTTGTATCTGTAGAATTTTTAATATAAGCTGTAATTTAACAAATGTCTTGTGGGTGTAGCAGATGTCTTTTCTTTTTTCCTTTTTTTTTTTTCCCCTAAATCCCAATCCCTTAAAGTTTTTTAAGCAAGCTTTAAAGCTCTATTTGTGTACTATCTTAGGTTTAGAGGGCACTCAAAGACAGAGGGAGTTTGTTTTAACAAACCTTATCTTGCAAGTAGACCCCCACAAGGTAGAGAAGGGTATTGCTGACTGTTCTGTATGGCCTTGCTCTTGCAGGGAACTATTGTACTGACTCTGCTCCAACAAATCACTTAAGCAATTGAAGTCAAAGGGACTAGAATATGTTTAAATATTCTTCTGGATTGATCTGTATCTATGTATACTTTCCAAACTCTTTTTTTGTTTTCTAAAAACAAGGTGGAGTACACAAGAACTTAATGGGATTCTCTAGTCAACCTAAGAAACTGGTAGTAGGTCTTTCTGTTTGAGATATTGGGGGGGAGGGGCGGGGGGGCTTGCTTGAGAAGGCTCTAGAGGCTGATAGATTAGGGAAGCAAAAGGATGCTGTCTGAAGACACAAGTGAATTGGTGTAAAGACTGAAGCCATTTTCCCTGCTGTCATTGCATTAGATTGGTCTATCTAAAATATTTCGGCATTGTACTATTCATACTGTATGGTTTCCAGCCCTATAGGTACATAATACCTTGAGCATGCACAAGTAATGCATGTGAGTTTCTAAATCTTGGAGTGGAAGAAAATAGGCTTTTAGATTGGCTTTTAGATTTATACGAGAGAAATGGCATTGTGAAGTTTTGAGTAGCATTACTCAAGAATGTTAAACGGCAATTCTGCAAAGTAAAGACATCACAGCTTTATAAATATTGTAAGGAAAGATGATGGGAGCTCTTTGGAGTCTGAGAAATACTGAAAATTTTTCAAAATGTTGTGAGCAATTTGTGCAGTACTTATTAAAGTATAATGTCATCTGGAGAAGTCATGGACTTCTTCCTCTCTATCATCTCTTTATTTTCAAATAACGCTCCTATTACTGGAAATGGGTGACCAGAATTTTTCTTGTGTGGAACCTGATATTCCAGTGTTTGAGGTAAGGTAAAGATAACCTAACATGGTGGGTTTCGTTTTTTGAAAAGCCATCCTATCTAATTTGTTTAAATCTGAACTAGCAGAAGTAGTTACTGTGATTGCTTAATTCTGCAAAAGATAGAGTAGAGGTCATTTGTGGGACAATTTGAAGACCATTTCAGTGCAGCTGCCTATGTAATAGTAGCCTGCAGTTATAAGACATGGTGTATTTCCATCTCTGCTGATCTTTTAACTTGACTAAGCAAAACTCTTTTCTCTACACAAAGCTATGATCATGTCTCCAACTGCACCAGTAGAGGAGACTGTTTAATTCAAAATAGCACCTTCTAATGGAGGGGGGGGGATCCTTATCAGACAGATGATGTATCTTCAGGTTTTGAATAGTTGGCTTCAAAGGGGATTAATTCAAAAATTAGTGAGAACAGATGTCTGATGTTGGCCTAAGCAGTCAGAAAGAAGAGGAAATGTCCTGGGTTTGAACTTTTTATCTTAATTGGATCCTTTGTGACTTTCAGCCCATTTGATAAGAGTTTCTTCAGTAGACTCTGCTGCTTCTACTGTACAAAGCCAACAGTATTAAATTTTTAAGGTTTTTATGTGTGTGTATAGGCACTCACGCAAGCATTTGCTTACAGCTTTGAAGGATGCTTCCCTCACAAAACAAAAACTTTATATACAACAGGCTGCTTTGGTGAGGCTTTTTTATATCCCATGTGCTATACAGAAAAGCAAAAATAGTGTTCTTTTAAACCATCTTTTAATATTTTTTTGAAACTTACTGCATATCCCTCTACAGGTGTGTTCAGGTTCCTTTTACGAGTCAGACCCTCTGTACAGTGCCAAATTAGCAAGAAGAACATTTGATAAGCTTCTTTAATCTTCTAAGATCAACAATGCAATTGCTTCTACAGATACAGGTGACTTTACAGTGTGTAGGAGCTGTCTGGGGCTGCGTTATGGCAGGCATGTTCATCAGCTGTCTGGGAATTTTTCCTTCACAGTAGTATAAATATGCCTCTAGACTTAAACACTGATGAAATATCAGAACTTGGCATTCATTCAAAGTTGTCCTTTGTCTAGGATAATTTGAGTTAGGTAAAATATTCCATTTTCAACAGACAAGGAAAGAAGCTTGTTTTTATTTCTCAGGGTGTTTTGTAAAAGAAAAGACTGCTTTTGATGATTCAGGTATTGGAACAGCTCCCAGTAACAGAAAAAAAAGGATATATTGCAGGGTATGGAAAATCTGGTCGAGGATGATGACCGTATTGCATGTCTTTTCCATGTATTATCAGCATATATGCTATTCTTAATATTCTGCCAAAAGACCCTTGATACAGCTTCATTTCAAGAAAAAAAATAAGCAGATACTGAAGGCAGGAAGGGGGACCAACTTAATGTCTAGACAACCTTTGGAGGCATGAGTGAGTTTTTCATTAAATGTATATACTTGAAGGGAAAAATCAATACTATTTCTTAAGGAAATTCAGGTATAGCTAATACAGATGGAGACATTCTCTGCCAAAATACATAGCACTAAGGCCTAGACAGTATAGTTTTTGCTCATGACAACTTACACAGTCAAACTTTGAGGTGTGCTACAGAGTAGGATGTAGAGATGTGGAGATAGAAGGTGGTTATTGTAGCAGAAACTGAAAATTATATAAATTAAGGAAAGAGATACTTGCAGGCTTGGAAAACAATCTGGCCCTTGTTGCAGAGTTACTGGGGGCGAGGTGTTTTTGTTGGAGCTACCTGTGTCCCGGTGAGGGTCTCGTGTTTGCAGCTCAACTTCTTGTGTAGTTGAGTGTCCAGTCCCACAGTGGAAGCTGGGGCATGGGCTATGCAAGTCACTTCATTGCCTCTCTTACTCTTTGTTACTGCCTTGTTGCCTCCTAGACCATGTTTGGCAGAGGCAATGACAGCCGTGAGAGACCAACGATGACAGAATGGTGGCCCAGGAATGCCCAATCTTTTATTTCAGTAAAAGTAAAGCAGTACTCTGCCCTCACAACCTACGCCAACAGCCTTTATAACCTGCTTCTGGACTGCCATTTCCAGAGCTGTCTCAGGCACACATGCCTGCTTGCCCAGCTGCCTTGACTGGTGCAGCATCTCTGAGATGTTGCTTGGGTTGCTGTTGCTTTATTTCTCTATTACTTCTTAATAGATCGCATCTGTATTGCAGGTTGGTATATAGTGCAGTGAAAGAAGAAATGAGAATTTTACATTGGTCTCACATTTTTGTTATTTTAAGTTGTAAATAGAAAATAGGACAAGTCTGTTGATCATGCTGTGTCACAGCCTAAGACAAATGAATCATTCTGCGCTGTCTGTGGCTGCAATCAGTCGTATTCATGAGTGGCCGTGCCCAGTCTCCTTAGGAGGGCTAAGATCATGGACATTAAACTCTTACTGTAATACTTGATTTAAATGTAACAGATAAGAAAAGCTTTGACTCGTTGAATACCAAAAATAATGTTTGTCAGACAGTGTTTTTGTTTCTTAATTTATTTCATGGGTTTTGAGAGATGCGTCAGCTTGGTCTTAGAAGAACCCAGAAAAGGCAAGTACTTCACATCCTGTTCTTCATTAGAAGTCAATTCCAATAAGGCTTCTAAGTGATTTAGATGCTTCTGGAAAATTTAGCTACCTAATTTTAAAGTCCACCTGAAGTTAAATCTTTAGGTGCTAAAGTAGGTACGGTTGGCTTCTGATCCACTTCAACGGTCCATTTTAATTAGTACATCTCTCTTTTCTGAGGAATGCTCTGATTTAATAATTTCTTTCTGCTAATTAGTCTTTAATTAAAAAAAAAAGCCTAGATGAAGATGGTTTCATACTGCCCTTTTGCACTCGGTCTTCATTGCATTGGTAACTGATTTCTGTCATTTAGGCTCAGAGACTACCATTTGATTATTCTTGAACAAAGATGTGCTACAGTTCTAAGGCAGCTTTTAAAGACTCAGAGCTGTGGTTTGCACTTTTTAATACTGTTGTTGCATTTGGTTTTATTTGGGAATAAAAGAAAGTGGTGTTGTAGGTGGTATCAGTGGAGTGGTTATGAGGAAAGGATGTCTTGTTTTGCAGATTAGCAATCTAATAAGGCAGGGAT